AAATACACTCCAGACACGCCGCTGGCACTAGAGGCACAGCATGGCCGCGTAGTGACGGCCCCGACCACTGCCGCTCAACCTGACCGGAGAAAACCGTAGCAGGAAGCTAGCGAAGTCGTAGTATATATCGTCAAATAGAACTATATATATATATGCGCGGATTTTACCCTCGCCATACCCGCACAAGGCCCCTGCATCAAGTGCATGCGTGCCCTAAGTGAAGGCGATTCGTCACTTTTCCAAAATCTTGGTAGGCGCCAGACAGTTGCTACACACCAGTTGGTTACATCCGCCTTGCTCGCGAGAATCTGAAACATTTGTGAGCCTTCCCAGCTCTTCCAGCAACGTGGAGAAAGTGGGCAACACCGCTTGCACCTGGGCGGTTGAGTACTCCTAACCAATTCGCTCCCAGGCCACTGTCTGAATGGGCCTGGGCGCACACACTTTGGCCCAACACGAAGCTAGAGGGCACACGCTCGGCCCAGCCCAGTAGCAAACTGGGCGATCACTTTCCATATAGGAAAGAGCTCGCCAGGCACAAGGGGATTCGTGCACTTGCGTGAGAGTGTGGCAGCGCTGCTTGAGCGTGCGCTTGCGTGCTGCTGCACTAGCGCTGGTGTGCACGCGCGGTAGTGTGGAAGAAGGGCGCTGTGGCAGCGCCATAGCTCAGCCCTCCATAGCTGGGCTGAGCTTGGACTCAGCTCGCTGAGGTGGTGGTGGTCTTCGTGGTAGAGGAGGAAGACGTAGGTGAAGAAGACGAGGGTGAGCGGTGAGACAGAGAGAGAGATGAGGATGATGACGTGAGGGCACGTACCTGGTCTTGGCGATGGTCCGCATGGTTGACATCTGCATGTACTTCGGTTGCTGCCGCTGGCGTCAACAAGTTGCTTGTCATTTCGTTGGGTCACATCGAAATTCTTTAATAAAAAATCAAATTAAAAAATAATCTTTACTTTCTTCTTTTTTTTTTGGCCCGGCCGGGCAAGTGGTCCCGGCCACTCTGATAAGCCTGTTTTTTTTGTTTTTTTTTTCGTTGGGACATTCCTTGCTCCTTGCACGGCCGGGTGGCCCGGGCAAAGAACGTGGTCCGGGCAGCTGGGCTGGTAGCCTAGAAAAAAAAAGAGAAAAAAAAACGGGAAAAAAAAAAAGAGTTTCATTCACTTTTGAGTTTCTCCTGGCCGCCCGTACAACAATTTTCTTTTTCTCTTTAAGAAAACAAAAGAAGGGAAAAACACTAAAAAGTCCTTCGGGCATCCATTAAATTTTCATTTTTTTCCCAAACGATATAGAGAACATCAGCATAGCCCCCTGCACGACGCCAACACATAATTCGAGCAATGGTCAATTTCAACAAAAAAAAAAAAAAGAAGAAGAAGAAGACGGGAAAAGCCTGTGATTGGCTTGTACGTACATATATAGATAGTGAATCTTTGGCTGTGATTGGCTGTTACCTATGTGTTTTTTTTGAGTTGTGGATAATTTAATAATTGAGATCTGGCAGATATTCGTAGGTAATGAATGATACATGGGCAGAGTCCGAAAGCTTCTACCTACACGTGGACAGGGTCGATAAGGGTCGATAAGCCTCAGGCTATACACGTGGACAGGGTCGGTCAAGTGCCCTATAAGCTACACTAGGACAGTGTGAAAAGCATTGCGTCCGATTTCTGCCTTTTTTTTGACGTGGCGGTCACCGGAACGCGGCGTCGGGGACGCCTCCCTACTGTGCTTCATTTTTTTTCTATCTTAGATGTGCTGTTTTCACTGTGCTTCATTTTTCCTATTTGAGATTGGCTTCATACGGTGACTTGCGTTTGATACATTGCGCAGTCGTCATTCTGCATTTGTATACAATACCTTCAGGACATCTGCACAAATTGGAAAAATTGGGGGGAGCAACACAGAGAAGATAGATTAATTAGTGTGCCTCCTGGCTGGCACATTTAAAGATGTAAGTAGGAGCGAGACCGCGCGGCCACCATGACCGCTGTGTCCAAAATCACTCAACAGTTAATATGATAAATAAGCCAAGTTCAGCCAACTATAGAGTGTGCAAGTCTCAGAGAAAATACTAAAATAGTCATCGTAACCTCCGGAAAAAAAAAAAAAAAA